TATTAGTGCACAAGGCTGGGTGCTTTGAATAGCCTGCTGTGTTGAATCTGCTTTGCAGGGCGCATTTCAGTCACAGTATTTTTTTTTAAACATGGACAACTAACAACAAATAAGAAAAGAAAAAACCTCAGGAGGGAACAGCAAGGAAAAAACAACTGAACTCAGGGCTAGTCTGCAAAAAAAAAAAAAAGTGAGCTCTTCGGGCAGTTTAATTAATCCGAGTTAATTAAATAGTAGTGAAGATAAGGCAGTTTGAGTTTTAAACTCAGGTTATCAGCTCAGCATAAAGCCTCTACAGCTGCCTGGGGTTGTATGTGAACTGCTAACTTTAGTTATAACCCACATTGCCTTGTCTTCACTGGTATTTTAACCTGTTATCAAACATGCATTAGCTAGCCTGAGTAGACCCACTGTCAAAGCAATATCAAAAATTAAGTGTAACAAAAAATGTAATATTCTAAATTACGAATGCATTTAGAAAAATTCCTAATGGAATCCAGGAATTTCATTGTAGTAACCCTTGCAGTAGGTTAGAAGGACCGCACTGTCTGTTGCTAAATATAAAAGCTTATCTCTATAAAACTTTATTGCAAATTTAATTCTTGGGGCTGTTGTTCAATAATAGAATACATATATCTGATTATGTGCCACTGGACATTTTTAGCACACACGTATGCAAATCAGAGATTAATTTTAAATGTGATGGGATACAGAGGAGTAACGAACACATTTTGCACCCTTAGCAAACCACGGGCAGGATAGCAAATTTTACCTGTCTTAGGGACTCAGCAGCTGCAGCAGTGTTTGCCTGTCCCCAGCTGCTGCTGCTGCTACAGTGGTATGATGTCCAGCCCCCAGCTGTTACTGCCATGTTGTGGTGCAGCTGCCAGGTGTACAGGGCAGGAAATTAAAACATTACATGATGTAGTGGCTGGTCACTGCAGATTCATCCCCCTGTGTTGATTTGCTAGGGAAGCAGTTTCTCAGATGGTGAAGGATTTTTGTGAGGATGGTATGGAATGGAACATAGAAGGGAAGAGAGAGAGGAAGAGAGATGAACAAGGGCAGGGGAATAAGAATTGATAAAGAAAGAGGTTATGCTTCAGTGGGAGAAACAGATGGACCCACATATGGAAGCTGAGTAGGGTAAAGACTCTAGAGAAGCCAGAAGAAAGAGTTAGGAGGCAAAGCTGGCAGGAGGTCTTAAAAGAGGGGAGAACCCACGTGATAGGGGCAGGTCAGTGTCACAGGAGGGAACAGCTGTCAAGAGAAATGTCTTGGATTAGTTAGGCATAGTATGCTTTGGATATGAGAGGGCAATACATCACTCCCAACAGGTTCCGTTTTCTGATACTCACTTGTGAAGTAGAAAATGTTTACAGTTCTGCTGCTTGACAGAGAAGGAAGCAGACACAGAAGTTAAGTAATTCAGTGATTTGCTGGCTTTCAGTTTTTGCTCAGTCAACTTTAATCACATTGCCTCTCAAAAAAAAAAATCACATAAAATATACATTCCAAAATGATGAACTTTGATCTTTTTCTTTCCCTTGGTCTAGGAATTTTAGATTTTATGCATTA